CACTAGACGATTCTTCAAGAGGATAAATGTTCCTAGGCAAACATGGGTTAGCCTTTTTTATTTTGAGCTAATTTCGACCCAATCCATTTAACAGCCATGAGACTCACTTTTACGGACGACGGGCCCCTTGGGTAGAACACTAGGTGGCACATAATCGTTTCCGGTCAAGCGCTGGAGGGCCATTCCATCTCAGTGCGGGGTCCGGCTGTCGGATGTGATGATGCAGGTGCAATACAACCGCCTTGTAGCTGATGTGTTCAGGAAGCCGGCCGACTCAGATAACTACATTAACACGCGCCCGGGTGGCCGGTTGAACACCCTTCGCTCGGGTGGGTGGTGCCAAGCCGTTCGGGAGCCATTCCGGAGAAACCTTTGGGGGTCAAGTTGACCCCCAACAGAACGCGTGCTAATGCGCTCAGCAATTGCCCAGACCGACGCAGGGAGGGTGCAACTCGTACGTCTAATAGAACATGAGTTTGTCCAGCAGGAGGATCCATGTATACATCGTCCACTGATCGACCGGCAACTATCCGCGCAGTTGGCCAATTGCGTTTCAAGATCGAGGGTCGAAACCACGTGACACGCGGACAGCGGGGCACCGATAAGGTGACTGACCGCTTTGTTCAGATTACCACGCATGACTAAGTATGCCTTGTGTTGATCGTGATCTTTGTCCACTTGACCCACCCTTTTATGTATTGTTGGAGACGAGGAGACAAACAAATACTGAGTGTACAGTCATGCTTGGCTTGTTGGTTAGAACCAGAGGTGAAGTCGGCACACAGGTCAGCATCAGGGGAAGCTTTCTCAACAAATCCGGGGGGGGGGGGGCTGCCCTGGCAAATAGATGCAACCTACCCCAAAATACAACCTATGCCAAAAACCAGTACCCCACATTTGAATTATTTTCGTAACAATGTTGGGGCAAAGAGGCTGAACACCTTCCCAACTCATACATGACTTTCCTCATGACTAACCACATGCTGGAGCGTGCCACCTGCGTCAGAAGGTTCTAAACAATGCCCAGGGAATTCAGAACGGTCGCGTTCTTCCAGGCCGTGACACCGATGGTGACATCTTAAAGTCACGGCTGTGTCAGGTCACCAGGGTCGTGGCTGTGTCAGCCGCGTGTTATAGCTTGACATCGACTCGGGCACGTCCGACTTCCAGTTTCAAAGTGCCAGTTGACGTAGTAATAGCCATAGTCCACTAATGACAAAAACAACAAAGAGCCATGAGCGTGTTGATGTTTGATGATGTCAATCTCGGTAAAGTTCTTCCACAATTCCCAGTCCCCCCCCCCCCTCTGTGGCACAGGTGTACTGATAATACATAGCAACTATGATATTCACTCTTGCGGGGTTGAACAAAAACACAGGGTACAAGGAGGCACAAATCTAAACATATTGTGTGCTATTACTGTTTGTATACTGTCAATGGGTCAACTTGATATCCATGAAAACGTATTGTTGTTGCAGTCTGTGACTTGATGTTCCGACACGGCAGTCTCCTGGGAAATCCAGCGATAGCAGGACATTGTCAACATCCTGGTAGCTGTATTTGGTGATTCCATGCTCCACGCCTCTGTCTCAAATATACGTATTATCAGCCATTATATTTGTGACACAGCGAGTCATGCTCACATTCTGCGCTGGCAAAACAACATTGAAAATATGCAAACTTGATCTCACTTGGCTAGCCTATAAAAACAAATCGTTGTTTTGCTTTGATGCTAATTCCTACACTTAACGCCTTACTGCGCGGACATGTCACCTCCGAATGGTTCAGTGATGATACCTGCGCAGATCGGACAAAGTTTGGAATGGGTCAGTGACGACACTGGCGCAGATCGGACAGTGGTCGACTGGCTGCGTATTTATTCCGGCACATATGCAAATTCCAATGCCAGTAAAAATTTTGTTGTGAAGCTACCAGATAAGAAAAGTTGTCTTACCTGCTCGCGGAATATCAAACTCAGGCGTCACAATACTCGTACACATCAATAAATGCCGCTGCGTACGCCACGCCCGAGTGGTTTCGTCTTATATGTTCGCATAAGTTGGTCAAAAGATCGCAACAATGTCGGACACTGTGGGCAAATTTTATTTATTCTCTCTTAAGGCCCGATGAAGTGTATGCTTTTGATCTGGTTCCCACTAGTCTGGTCCTGATTTGTGACTAGGTTGTGACTAAGCCCTGATCTGACACAAATTTGAGCTTGAATAATGAAGCATGTTAGTAAAGTAAACATAGACATAAGGATATATCTGAAATTGTGGAATGGGACAGGGGCGTGTCCAACTATTGGTTCCCCCTTGTGCCTTTCCTCTCGCCCTGGTAGGTGGGGAGGGGGGGGGGGGCGGTCGATGCGACCCCCTAAGGTTTCCTGAACATACCTGTCCGGCGAATTCGTGCAACCGCGCTCGAATTTTCGGTAGCCTATGAGGCGTCTGTTGCGCGTGTTTTGACACAAAACGTGTCCCTGACGTTTGTGGTTTCGGAGCAGGGACGGCTTTTTCTCCACGGTAATCTACGGCCGGTAGGGTGGGGGACGGCAGGGTGCCAACCGGCTATGCTGCGGAACGCGCGCGGCGGGACAACATTGTTACATCAACGAAGCCATGCATCATCAACATATGGTCAACATACGAAAACTAAATGCCATTGTCCCCATAATTGAAGCAAGAAACCCGGCTGTATTGGCTTCGTGCTGCCACGATGCATGACATCGTATCCATGATGTAAATCTGTCAAAGTGCGATTTCAAACATTCGTGATCTCGCTCGATGTAGATATCTCGCGAACGCTGCTTGGGTGCGAATACACTATATTCACCATAAAATAACATTTACTCGAGCGACATGGGATGCAAGCGTCGTTTAGCCAAGCGAAGAGGCGCAAGAGACAAACTTCATGCAATCTCGTTAGAAGTTAAGAAAGCATCTTTTGAAATTTTCTCTCAGCTAAATCTTTTTTTGACAAATTCCTCTTGGTTCTGCCGCAGTCTGTGCTGTGGAGTGCTGTCCTCCGCTCTGTTATCTCCGTCTTGATCTGCTCCATCATCTCGGGAACCTGTCGTGTGTTCCAAGAACCTGTCTTATATGACAAACACCTTATCTCACTCAGCCATCACCCCTGTTAACCCCTAGCCCTCCCCTCAGCCCTGTCTTCCTGTCACCTCCTGCCCTGTGCTTTCACCTGCTCCCCTGTCTTGAGCCATTATTCCCCGCCCTGTCCCTTCATGTTGTCTCCTGCCCTGCGCTCTTCCACGCAGTGCATTTATATCCTGTTCCACCTACTGATATGTCATGGCCTGGTCTGTACTGCTCTGTTGTCTCCTGCTCCCCTCCCCCGTCCTGTCCTCTGCCCTGCCATACCAGCCCGGCTGTGGCGGACCCTCTGTGGAGGCCGGGGGGGGGGGGGGCGGGGGGACGTTGTAACTTGCCCCTCTCGTGAGTGTACTGCCATCATGTTAAATGCCGCCCGGATTTGGCTGAGGGTTACTGCACCCTGCCCTCCCCAAAGTCGCCACTCCTGGCCATGTTATGCCAAGCCCCACTCCCACCCCCAGCCCTAGCCCTAGCCCAGTGCTAGGCCCCAGCGCCAGCTCCAGCTCGAGCTCCTAATCGGTCTAAATTCCCTCTTGTGAGGAGGCGTGACAGCGGCAGCCGGCGACGCCTAATACTAGCGCTAGCAGCGTCCGCGCATGTACACCTCTCCGGACCCCCTTCCCCCGCCCACCCCTAGAAGGGGCGATAACCGACGATGCCGCGGAAAACGCTCGGAAAACGCGGACGATGTCGCGGAAAATGCGCGACTGTCCGACACTGTTCATTAACGGAGCCATGTATCATAAAGTGTGCTCAAAACATATACCAAAATGAAGCAATGTACTCAAAACTGAACAAGAGACACACCTGTCAGACTTTGTGTCGCCACATGGCATGGTTCTGTATGTATGAAGTTAAGTCAAAGGAATGGCTTTCCGAGAAAAAAAACCTTTTACCTGACAGAGCGAGGTCATTCTTTACCTAAATATATACAAACTAGCACTTACTGCAAGATATCGTTGAGACTAATTCCCTGACGTTTTGCTAAGCTCTATCTTCATGATGTATATGGGTCTTTCAATGGGTTTGTAAATAGATTTTCAACATCTAGAGATGCAAACCTTTTTGGTTGGCTAGATTGCACAATACCATTAGTTTCGTCCGTTGCCGATAGGCTGTAAGGCATAGGAAAATATGCGAGCAAAATGACATTACATCGCTCTAATTGTGTACGCCACTGGTGGATCTCCAAAATTTTGGGACGGAGAGGGTGCCCATTTTCTAGCGTCTTTTCGCGTTCACGTTGTGCTCAACTAGATGGTAACCCCGTGCGTTAGCAGCTTTTCGAAGTGTATCTTCCAGACGTAACAAGTGAATACTAAACATCTAATCAAAAATCCGTTTGCAAGTGAGAATTGTTGGCAAATACTTCGCTGATTAATCATGATATCAGCCTCTGCAACAGCTACCATCCATGGCAATAGCGTCGCCAGACTGCGCAGACTGCCCTGCCCTGGCAATGGCTCCGTTATCTTCAGTGTCAGCGTCCGCCCTCGGCCACGTCATCGGACCACGAGGACGCGCGCTGACGTCTTGTCTAGGCCGAGCGACCCCCCCCCCCCCCCCCCCCACACACCTAACACGGACACTCCAAGTTTGCTGCTGTGGCAGCGGCGTCTCTCAACGTTTGAGGACATGATTACTAAGATCCTCCTCATACAGCCCTCCAGCGCTAATGGCATGATTCACGCCGGCCGAAGCAAAGCAGCTGCTACCGTTCTCCCCCGATCCGTCAGAGCGGCTCGTGCTATCCGCCCGCCTGGCACCACTATCTTATCTGATCTGGCGCCCTTGGCGTTCGTCACAGGAGAGCGCCGCGCGCCTCCGGCCATCACGGTCTGCAGAGTCGGCGCGCACGGCCAGTGGCACTGGTACGCCGGTCACCTGAGGTCACGTCAAGCCGGGTCAGGTCAGATCAGGGCAGGGCAGAGCAGGCCTCAGGATGGCCGGAGGGCGCGCCGGTGTGCTCTGCGTACTGCTGGCAGCATGCCTCGGCTACGGTGAGTGCGGCGGCCTGTGTGTGTGTGTGTGTGTGTGTGTGTGTGTGTGTGTGTGTGTGTGTGTGTGTGTGTGTGTGTGTGTGTGTGTGTGTGTGTGTGTGTGTCTGTGTGTATGTATGTGCTTGTATGTGTGTTTTCATGCATGTGTTTGTGTATGTGCTTGTGTATGTGTGTGTGTGTGTGTGTGTGTGTGTGTGTGTGTGTGGTGTGTGTGTGTGTGTGTGTGTGTGTGTGTGTGTGTGTGTGTGTGTGTGTGTGTGTGTGTGTGTGTGTGTGTGTGTCTGTCTGTGTGTATGTATGTATGTGCTTGTATGTGTGTTTTCATGCATGTGTGCGTGTGTGTGTGTGTGTGTGTGTGTGTGTGTGTGTGTGTGTGTGTGTGTGTGTGTGTGTGCGTGCGTGCGTGCGTGTGTGCGTGTGTGCGTGCGCGCGCGCGCGCGTGTGTGGCAACTGTACTGAGGCGTTTAAGATGGGGGGCACTCCGGCCTACTTCGCGTTGACTTTGAATGACGCTACTCTCTCCGCTGTAGACCCGCTATACCGAATCCCAGATGGCCAGCATAAATAGCAAGTACTACGTGCCATGATTTGGTAACCAGCATCACAAATTCAGATTTGTCGATAACCCGTGAATCGTACCTCTTAATGGTGAGATAACACTTTTTGGCTTTTTATGATAATTAAACATGATTTATATCTGTTCTATCAGACAGTTGTGACGGGCACTCGAAGGTGACCAGAATCAGTTCCTTCGCGTTTTCTCTTTTTTTGGGGGGGGGGGTTAAACATGACCATAGCAAGATCCCACAAAGATGACCTTGTGCCTGGCTGCAAAAGAGTGCCCGGCGCGCGGGTTCAGATGAACGTAAATCGCGTAAGTCACGTCTGCGTCTGCGTAAGTCACGTGTCACGTAAGTCCTTGTCCAACAAAGGGCTTGATGCTGGAAGAAATGGTACTTGGTAATTGACCGCAGTATACTCCGTGGTACATTGGGATACTAGTTCAAATGCATATCATTCGATTACTTGGCCATGAATTGTACCATCCATGTTGCTAACGACAAACTGTTTTTCACTGCCCGCTAAACATGTGTGCGATGCAGCTCAGGTTGAAATAAGTTAGATCGCACAATAGGCACATAAGTTGAGCATTTTGCAGCCTCTCAGCAGCCTGCAAATGTTGATTTTTATTTCTCAACTTGTTGGCAACAACTTGTTTCAACCTGTCAACTTGTGAAAACTCGAGTTTTCACAACTTGACATCAGTAAGGGAGGTCTCAGGTTTCGCCCACCCCAGAACACCTGACCTCATGGGTCTTCCAGTGTAGGTAGCTGTCCGCGTAAGAACATTTTGAGCCAGGGTCTGGTGAAAAGGCTGTGCCTTTTTACTCGGGTTCAGTTAGGCTCCCCAGCGAAACTAGCGCCAGGAACAAACGGGTGGGTAGCTTAACGTCGTGAGTGTCGTATCGCATTCAGTTGTTTCCTACAAATCGAGCGCTTTCATTCATGTTGCGCTGTTCTTACAGGTTGGGAATAACGCGAGCGAATGTGTTGTTCACGGGAGCACCCACGGTGCGTCCCGGGAGAATTATGCACTTCTTATCGGTGGCATGCCCGGTGTTATGAGATACGTCAACTAACGGTATCAAACGGTAACGATACAAAGTTACGGTACGTAACGGATAGGGAGAACATGACTATGATACACGAAACTCTTCACGTTTGACTTCAAGCAGGTAATCGGTCCAAGGTAAAAAAGGTGCTTGCCTGGAAAGGCAGTGCCATTTTACACCAGTTGTTAAACACACACACACACACACACACACACACACACACACACACACACACACACACACATATATATATATATATATATATATATATATATATATATATATATATATATATCCAGGGCCGTTAAAACGGAATCCATTCCCGGAGCGCTTCGTCTCGAAGTCCCTCGTGATGAGGCCATTGCCAGTGGTTTTACAGAAGCTGGGGAAGCATTTCCTGAGGAGTACGTCCGGACTGGTTTGAAATAATTGGCAACGATTCTAGAACAGATCTGTTACATAATTAATGGCAACTAGCATTAACAACAACAAAAATGATATAAATATTAACAATGAACCATCGTCGAATGATGGGCTGACACCCTCTCCCCCTCCCCCAGCAGCATGTCACTTTTAGTTTTCGGCTTGCTGAAGCACTTTTCCAAACACCGCCTCTTTTCTCATTGGTGTCAACGATTTTTATATTTGGGGATATTATTGATGTACAAGGACAATATTCAAGCGCACAAAATGGTGCAGACAGCGAAATTGCTTTCTGAAGGGAAAACATGGAAGTAACGCAAGGTACGTAACATGCCATGCTCTCGTTTAACCTTATGCTCGACCTAGACCACCTTTTTACCGCGTCATATTCATAGCGCGATATTTATCCTGTTCCATTTGCGACCTGCCATTCTTTGTTCCTGTAAGTTGTTATGTAATAATGTTTCCAACCGTAGCGATTTGTGCGACCCTTTGGCGTTACGAGATAACCGGACAGGCCGAACTGACCCTTGTTGGAGTTTTTTGACAACGAACAGTCGGACTATTTTTATTGCATTTAGTCTGTCATGATTTACGGATAAGTTGTGAGCTCAAGCTGAAATGGGGCCTAGCGATGAGAAGGTACCGACCTAGCACGTGCCCGAAAAAAGCTCCCTGCCTGATGTCCGAGTGGAAATAGTTTGTCTGCCAGAAGCCGCGAGCCCTAGCAAGCAACTTAAAACAGCCATGGCGTATCTTATTTAACGGCTCATGACATGTGCGTTCAAATCTGACATACGGAAGAAAATACGCGTTAGTGTCTCCAATCGGCTGTATCCCAAAGCGTGCCCTCCTTTTTAGTTTGCAGGACGTTCAGTGTTTGACTGTTACGAAGAATCTCGCCAACTTAGTGTCAGGTCCTGAAGCCTCGTAAGCACTGTAGAATAATAGAGAAATATGTCGAATACAACTGTCAGAATTTTGTTATGTGCCCATCCGTGAGCTGAGGCGCAAACGCCAGTAATGGAAGTGACCTTTATCGGTTGCTGTCATGAAAGGTCATCTCCAGGCGAGTGAAACATTCCCTTGGGTAATGGTTCCCAAGCGGAACTATCCGTACCCGGTTTGATTCGATACCGTGTCTTGTCTGCGATACCGTCTATCGATCTGGCCTATCATGTAATCCGAATGACGCAGGCAGCACGTATGCCACAAGTCTAAGTTCAGATAGGCGGATGCCGTTGAGCCTGTGCGTCAAGGTAGGCTAAGTCGGGGGGCTGCATCGGAGTCACAGAACGCAGCGAACGTGTGTTTGCAGCGTTGGCAGCGTTGGTGTAGATTGAAGATCAAAATGGGTCAACAATTATTATTAACATGGCAAAGTCATATTTGTCTGGATATGTCCAGCATTCAGTCAGGACTGATAAGTGGTACGAATTATGCAACGCAGTTTTGAGTTGCGCGCTCGCACATCTTAGTAAAAAAGCTCTACGCCAGACGTTGCAGAGGCTACGCCTAACCTGAGCCTGCGCAGCGTCGGTCCCAAGGTAACACTAGGCCGTAGCCAACAGTTGCATGAAAATTGTGGCGCATCTGAAACAAGAACCTTTGAATGCTTTTGAACACTAAATCGTACATTTAGGAATGTTCCCGGCGCATATTTCATTTCCGCGATTTTAGATTGATGACAATAACGTACTGCTCCTTACAGCACCGCGAAGTAGGGTGGAGCCCGGTGCTGGAACTGGAACAGTAGGGTCAGACCTCTGTTTTCCGTGTTGCTGTAATTGTTAATCTGTCCAGAGAAGAACCCCAAAGTTGTGGAGAAAGACTGCCCAGTGCATTCTTTGAACTGCACGAATTTATTTTAAAAGACATTGAAAAACATTATTTTAGGATAATCATTGCTGCGTGCTCGGCGCCCGCCGCCTGGCGTTACTTGCAGCGGCCAAAGCCGTTCGGTTTTGCGAAAACTGCGACCCATGCCATCGCTATCCTTGCTCCCCCAGATTATGGGCGTTGCACTGACGCCTTACGACGCCCTCAGCTGCTGGGGCTATATGGCGCCACTAGCCTCTCACCCTGGTGGGAAGGGCGGACGTCGTGGAGAATCGAACCCCGTACATGTGGTTTCCAGACACGCGGTGGTCGACGCAGAAGTGTTGACCACTACGCTATCGGCACTCAGCGCTCAGGCTCAAACCCTTTGATGGCATTTGTTTCACTAGTCGATGCTGCAAAATAATGTATGTTCTCAGGCACAAATGGGATGGTTTTTGTGTTGGGAGCTCATTTTGACCCGCTCCATTCAACACTAATTAAACCTGTATTTCTTTCCCGTAAAGAGACCCCTGGAGCACAACATTACGAGGCATATTGCTGTTCCTGGTCAAGGCCTGAAGGGTCATTCTATCCCACTGCGATGTGTTTTCCGGCCGTCATTTGGGCGACACGGGGAGGAGTCCCCTGGCCGGTCCGGAGGTCCTTGGCGGAATATATCATATCACATTGGTCCGCTCCCTGATGTGGCATGACTTCTGACCCGCACAGTTGACCCCTGTTCGATGAATGAACCGGCGTTAACGCCACAACATCCCTGCTCGCTGCAAGTGGTCAAATAGTTGGCACATAGACTCCCAATGGGCTTAACGGGCCCATGTTAGAGTGGGTTTGGCCCACTGCTCAATACTGCGGGCCCTGACTGGCACAGGACTCTTCTTTTACCTCAACGTGAGCGCTCATCATAAGCTCTCACGTGTCCTTCAGTTGTCAGAGGACCCCGACCAACGCAAGAGGCCCTCTGCCACTCGGGCCCCCGTCCCCGGTGAGCGTATCTTCCCCCGATCCAATCAAGGCCCCTTGTTGACACAATGCCCTATCAGGCACTGTTGGCCCCTGAACGGAGCTCGACCAATGTAAATCGCGGGCCCGGCCTTGTCCCTGCTTGGGCAATGGGCCCCTAAAGCTCAGACCAACACGGAGCCGACTGTTCGTTGTTCGTGATCTCTGGGCGAAATAAAGAAACGCTCGGTCTCAGGGGTCCCTATGGGTGCAAGAGATAATCTTACTGGCGTTTGAGATTATGGCCCTATGGGTGGGGATTCTTAATGTGACCTACAGTGAGCCCTTCAGACCCTCAGCCATCTCATTGGGCCCTCAGTCATTGGTCTCGATAGGCCCTCCGGCCCCTCTTCGGGCCTCTCAAACGCCGCCCCGACTCGGGGCCACTTGCCATCACAGTATCCCTGTTGGACGCCGTGACCGCTAACCGACACAGGAGCACCTCGTTGCGTCAGAGGCCCCGAACATTGCAAATCGCGGACCCTGGCTTCGCTTCTGCTTGGATAAGGGGTCTCAAGGGCTCAGACGGACATGGAGCCGGCTGTTCGGTGTGCGGGGTCTCTGACCGAGTTAGACACCCCGCACTGTCTCAGGGGTTCGTCAAACGGTGCAAGGGGACCTCCGAATGATATTGCAGCTCACGACCCTACGGGCCGCGATTTTTTAACGTAACCTACAGCCAGTCTTTCGGGCCCTTATTCTCTCCAAGTGGGCTTTTGATCGTCGGTTCCGGTGGGCCGCCCGGGATCCCCTTCAGGCCTCATCGAACGCTTCCCTTGGTCGAGCACAGGGCCCTATGTTAGGCGCTATGGGTCCTTGGCAGATACAAAGCCCCCACCAGTGTAAACCACTGGCTGCGGCTTTATAGCTGATTGGGAAGTGGGTCCTCTGTTCCATATCGACACAGGGCCGACTGTGTGGTGCGGTGATACATGGCAGATGTATAGGCTCGTATTGTCTCAGAGGTTCTCCGATCGGCGTTAAGGGTCCTCTGACCGTTATTTCGAAGTCCATCTTCGCAGGCTGGGGCCCCGGAACAAGACTTCGACCAGCCCTTCATATCCTTAGACCCTCCAATTGGGCCCTTGCTCGTCGGACCCGGTGGGCCCTCTAGGCCTTTTGGGCCTCCTCGAACACTACCTCTGGCCGACTCGGGCTCCTGGACAACACAGAACCGCTTGTAGGTGCTGTGGGGCCCCAAACAATTTAAATTGCTGGTTCCGACTGTGTCCCTGCTTGGGAAATGAGCCCTTAGGTCCATGCCGCCACAGAGCCAACTGTGCGTCACTGGTGGTGTCTGACCGAAATATAGGCCGTTATCGACGCAGTGGGTCCCTGATCAGTGCGCAGGGCTCTTTGCCTTTCATTGGAGTGCCCGGTCTTGTGGGCCGCAGCCCATAAATGAGACCTCCAGCTGGCTTTTCAGGCCCCACGGGAGCTTAATTTAGCACTTTATTGTAGGCTCCGAGGCCCTCGAAGGGCCCCTCGGAAGCTAAGGGGGGGGGGGCACCTGCTCCCTGCGTCCCTCCCCTGCCTGCGCTACTGCTAGCAGGTACCTAACGGCGAGCGGATTGTCTAGCGGTGAGAAGGTGCTGACGGATTATAAACAGACCTATATCGATGTGAGCGAATGGCTGACCAATGGCCAAATGACAAAAATGGCCGACTGAAGTCTTAGTTACAAAACAAATGGCTTGTCCATGACAGAGTCACATAACCAGTGGCTTGCCAATGACTTAATCATCGAACAAATGACTGGCCAATGGCGGAATAATAGAACAAAGTGGCTGAACAAAGGATGGGTCACGGAGCAAATGGATTACCAATGGCTGAGTTACAGAGAACATGGCTGCATGTCTACCCGTGTTGTTAATCAATGCGATGCAAAGCGTGGAATTAAGCACATCTGTAATGATGAAAAATGCTTGGCTTGCAAGTGTGTAGTGTGCTGTTCAATTAGGAGCTTGATAATTTTGCTTGGGTATTATTGTACGTCCGGGTGAAGCGAGGAATGCGGAAGGTCCTTATGTTCTACCGCTTCTCTAACCACGTGGCGCCTCCTGGAGTAAACTTGAGTGGCAGTCAATACTAAAAAAAATCATTTCGTATTTTAGAGGCCAAAAGGTCAAGACCTCAAACAACACGCTCAACCTATCTGCAAGTGCCCTTTCAGAGACATATTGCAATTTTTCATGGTTCCAAAGGATGCTTCACCTTGAATCCCAACTCTTAAAGTTCAAATAAAGATAGTAGAAATGTGCTCGGCACGCGCCTCCGTTGTTGCGTACTGTTGGGAACAATCATACATTTAGATTGGTACCTCCAGCACAATTTGTGTGGTCTGAGAGATGGAGTTAAGGCTTTCTTCTCTCCGCCCACAGCAGCTGAACGCATCATTTGCAAACAGGTTTGGGTCATTCTGGAAGTTGGAAAAGTGCGTTCGTGTTTAGAGATCGTCGTGGAGGCGTTTTGTTAATCCGATGAGCACGGACTATAAAAAGCAAAGGTGAAAAAATGTTCGTTATATCAAACAATATGACAAACTATCCCTTTTATATATGTGACAACCTTTTAAGAAGAGACATTGGAAAGCAAATAGCTTGGAGATACTAATTAAATAACTTGTAGTTGTTAACTATTAGTAATCAATAAGTTTTGACACTGCTACCCTTATTCTTCTTAGAATAAACAGGAGAAAGGAGAGACAAATGTGCTGATTTTCGGTTACATTCCCTTATTGAAACAAATATCAGTAGCCTGATATCAGTAGCTATCAGATAGTAATATTATTAGTCACTACTGATATTCGTTTCGGTTCAGGCATGGAGCCGAAAAACAACGCATTTTTATCTCATTTTTACTTACTAGTCTACGGGGAACTAGGCTAACAGTACAATCTGATCTATATCAATAAATTTCTTCGCAAGTGCTCTTAACAACATATAACATACCCTGTAGTCATTCGCCGACAGCATCCAATGGTGAACATTTCTGGTATGCTATTGGACATTGATGTAGCCATCACCGTTGCTGTTTGTTTACACCACTGCGTCTGTAGCCCATATATCATCCTCGTTGAATGACATTAACATCTGCGACAGGATATGCAGCGTGTCCCGACATAACAACAGTGATAGTCAACAACTGGGCAGAAGACAAGAACGGGACTATGAGAGAGGTGCCTGCAGCCGGCGTTACCAGTAAGAGATTTGCCGCGCCGCTCCCTGGACGCAGGCAGCCATCTGTGCCCAATTCTCTCAGCAATCGAGGACACTCAGGCCCAGATGTGCTGTCCGTGTGTGTGTGTGTGTGCATGTATGTGTCACTGGGGCACGATGCACTCAGCTGCTGAGGCTATGTGGTATCGCCTGCCGCCTCCCACCCTGGCAGGAAGGGCCGGCACCGCGGGGAATCGAACCCCGTACATCCGGTTTCCCAGACGCGCAGTGGTTAACGCAGATGCGTTAACCACTCACTACCGGTACCCCTCAGGTCTTTTGTGTAAAGCGGTGCTCAGTCAGTGAACGAGTCTGGGACGGTCCTTGCGCGCTTAAGATCTGCTCCTCAGGTTGCGTCGGTAACTGTTAGCCGTGATTTGGCTACATTGGCCAGTTGTCCCATATGATGGGATCTCTGTCACTGTCAGTGCAGTTGGGAAGCGTCTAAATGTACTTCTGCGCGCACCAGACCTTGCAATCAATGACACGCAAATCTGCCTCACATTCAGGCATCACGTTCGTGGGCAATGAAACAGATGACCAGTTCGACGCCAGCCAGTATGTGGATGCGACGCTGAACGAGACAAGCCATCAGATCGTGTTCAGCACGCTGCCTAGTATGGACGGCGTGAGAGACTACAATCATTCGGTAAGGCAACGCGACACCACCTCTCGTTGTTCGGGCTGACTTGTCTTGGATTAGGGCGCATAGCCTCCCGGGCTCCAGCGTAATTGTAACGAGCGTTCGGGCTGAACCGTGGCCATCCGCGTCAGTGATCGTCATGAGTCCGCTGCATTGGAAACAATTTTGGATCTGTTGTGGAAATTGAAAATGTTCAGCGCTACCAACTTCCCAAAACTTTGATTCACCCGAATTTTAGCCGTTATGCTTTCACCACTCACGTACGAGTGCGTCTGTTTTGCGCGAAATGAACAGCTTATACAATGCACATCGCTTTTCAGGCAAACATCAATTCTATGACCGGGACGTGCCAGATGGAGTGCGGCAAAGACGTAAGTATCTTCTCGAATGCGGGTGACACGATCCTGGTTGAAATGTGGATACACACACATAACACTTCTGTCTATCATGGGTGCTGTCGTTCACCGTAAGGGTTATCTTAAGCTTGTCGAATCTGACTACCTGTCCTGTTGGAGAAAAGGCTGAATAAAACTAAAAATCTACAATTATTGATCGATTCAACATCAAAGAATATCCATGAGTACCTATGAAAGTTGTGATGAGCATAAAGCACATTGTCAGCACCATAATACGTTGATTAGTTACGAAAAATATAAAACTAGGATATTAGCAGCTCCCAGCCATTGCACACCGTCATGGAGCGTCCCCCGAAGGTTGGGCGGCAATATTCTGCAGAAAATCGCATTTGCACTGAGAAAAATGTTTCCAAGTCGTTCCAGGTCCAGGCAGTCATAGGGAGCGTTAACTATCTACGAGATCCCATAGTCCTCCCAGGAACTGCAGCTCCTGGGACCCTTATGACTTTGGGAATATACAAGAGACAATTTAAGTAAACTTTTGACGCTTCCTATCCCTTAATATCGACGCTTCCTATCCCTATCGCTTAACTCTGCGGGGTCGCGCCATCCCTTTGACTGTGTAGCTTCTGGAGCAATGTCTCACCCTTCAAAAGTCGGACTGCCCCAAGAGGCCCACATAGCTTGCATGTGTCTCGCCCTGTCATGTGTGTCTCACGCTGTCATGTTTGAGTTTTACGCTGCCGTGTGCGAGCCTTACGCTGTCATGTTTGAGTTCTACGCTGCCGTGTGCGAGCCTTACGCTGTCATGTTTAAGTTTTACGCTGCCGTGTGCGAGCCTTACGCTGTCATGTTTGAGTTTTACGCTGCCGTGTGCGAGCCTTACGCTGTCATGTTTGAGTTTTACGCTGCCGTGTGCGAGCCTTACGCTGTCATGTGGGGGTCTTACGCTATCGCGTAAGGGTCTCAGTAAAGTCATGAGAGAAACGTGGTACATAGGTTCAAAATCTCAGTGTAAAAAGCTCAGAAGTCCAAAGAGTCCAGCTACCCTCGATGGACATTTAGAATGGTTCCAATGAGGCGTCTTAACCCACCACGAGGGTGCCTCACTTATTGCCCTTGGCATAAGGAGAACTACACGGGCTTAATCTGTGGACCGGCAGCTGCGCCGGCGGAGTTGGGGCTGGGGGGGGGGGGGGGGGGAGGGGCGGTGGCGTTGCATTGGTTCAAACGGGGCTGGCAAGTGGGCAGGCTTCGATGGCCAGGAGCGCCACGAAGGACCAGGTGGGAACTGAGGAGCACCACAGGGGGCCAGGTAGGAACTGAGGAGCGCTGTGAAGGACCAGGTGGGAACTGGGGGGAGCCACAGAAGAACCAGGTGGGAACTGAGAAGCGTCACAGAGGGCCAGGTGGTAACTGAGGAGCGTCACAGAGGGCCAGGTGGAAGCTGAGGAGCGCTGTGAAGGACCAGGTGGGAACTGAGGGGAGCCACAGAAGGACCAGGTGGGAACTGAGGAGCGTCACAGAGGGCCAGGTAGGAACTGAGGAGCGGTGTGAAGGACCAGGTGGGAACTAAGGGGCGCCACAGAAGGCCAGGGGGTAACTGAGGAGCGCCACAGAGGGCCAGGTGGGAACTAAGGAGCGCCGCAGACTTCCAGGTGGTAACTGAGGAGCGTCACAGAGGGCTAGGTGGTAACTGAGGAGCGTCACAGAGGGCTAGGTGGTAACTGAGGGGCGTCATAGAGGGCCAGGTGGCAACTGAGGAGCGCCGCGGATGGCCGGGTCATGACCTGCCGTCATGTCCGGTCGGGTGGGGTCAGGGACCGCGCTGGCGCTGTTCGGACGGGTCGTCGGGCGTGCGTAGTGAGGTCGGTCCCTTCCCAGGATCACTAGAGCTCAGGTGCCACCTCACATGACTCGGGTTTACTTCTTTTCGATTTGCTTCTTTTTTATTTGCTTTTTTGACGCAACTGATACCGTACCATGCCCACGGGCTCGACAAACTGGCAAGTGAGACGGCTGGCTGCATCGGGCGAAGTTACGGCGCTGGTAACGGCGACCTGAGAGGCGTGGAATTGAGGATTGAGCTCATTCAGATGATAACCGAAAGACTCAAATTCCTTAAACATTGAAACTTCACATGAGACTTTAGTTTACTCCACACTGCTCGTGAGATAGATTCCCAGGGCCGACGGTGCTGTTGTATTTTCTGACAGACCGAAGATGGAAGGCAGCCATGTCACTGCGACTAAGAACCTGGAAAATTAGCACGGCCCTAGTAAGATATGCTTTTATCGAATGAAACGTATGCCTTTTGCCTTAACTTGTGGGCGTGATATAACATTTCGCTACACTTTATGAAATGAAGGGAAAAGTGGGAAACGATTTACGGGTACCGCTTCGTTTTTATTTCATTAGTGAGTTCGAATGAATTTCATAAACTGGCCAAGTTGAGAACAGTGTGGTTTTACAACGCACACATCACGACTCGCGCTAAGCATAACCGACGCTCTGGAACATCAGGACTTAGTTATCAGTCAACTGGAGGGGAAAAGGAAGTTAGACGTCAAGTTACCATTTGCTTCAGTTGCTATAATCTACAACGTTCCTAGCAGCGCCACAGAGACCACGAGTGCGCGGGGTTTAGCAAACCATTACGCTGCAAAAACCGAAAGCTGTGAGAAGGACAAAAAATGTCGGGAGTCCAAATGCCCTGCCACTACATATATTTGCTTGGGCATCCACCTGTACAGTCGAGATATTTGCACTTTGTTGTTTACAACATGCGACTTGCTCATATTATCTATCTTCATTCAGTTATGTCGCAGTAGTCAAGCAGGTGATAATTGTGATGATATGACATCGCTTTTCTTTTGAGCATTCAGATGCATAGACGTCGTCATGTATGCGAAATATTCTGTTAAGTTTAAGTTCTTACATCGATGACGCCATAAATGAAAAATGCTCGCCCCCTTCTTAATCCATCATACTTCGCAGCTTTTGATTATGCTGTCGGGTCGTGCCTAGTATCTTCAGAGGCCACAATTCGGCTTAATCTTATATTCAGGAAACGGATTTTCCTTGAAATTCCTGCCAATGCTAATAACGCTCGATGAGATTCCGGACTAGAACTGACCAGTTTTGATGGATGATGCATCAAACGAGGGCTTGGGCTCTGAGTGGTAGCATTTTACGACCAGGAATTGTAATATTCAGACGAGCGATTTGTTTGGATTTTGGGATTTTGCTTTGGCTGCTTTCGTATTACAGATCGGCAGCGATGCTTGTATTTCTGCCTATCCTGTTAAAGACCGCAGCGTGGACGTTTGTTTCCTAATTGCAGACCGGCAGCTTCGAGTTTACCGCCTACGTCAAAGACGCCAACACAGCAACACCTAAGTTCAGCCTTCCGACGTATACCGTGCATGTACCGGAGATGTTTCCAAAGGGCCTGGCTCTGCCGAACTCAGCAATATTCGCCTCAGGTACGGATGCTGCTGTGAGCCCTCACACCGACCATCCGCAGCAACCGCCGTCGCCAACATAGTGGAATTTATGCCGTGCGATCAACTCCCGTCCATGACAATTATTTTCGCCAGAACGGTGGCCATCAACGTTGTGAGTTACTGGAACAGCCTGAGTGTTATAGATTTGGTTTTAAGTGAAGCATATTATTGTGTAGCATCGATGTGATCTTTGGCATGACAGTTTTAAGCATGTTACGTGAGTTTTTTAACTTTTCAGTTAGGGGGTTTAATTGTTCAACAGCTCAGTAATTCCTTATAAAAAACATCTGATCATATTCGGAACAAAGTGTACAAAAAATCCATGGGAACAAGATACTGATTTTAAATAGAAGGTATTGCATGGCCTGCTAGTTATGGATATGCACCAATTGTTCAACCATTAGCCAGTCTCTTAAAAAAGAATATTGCAGGTTATTGTCGTTAATCGAAGATGATGCTCAGATAACCGTATAATTCAATTTCTCATAGCAAAATATACATTTTTCAAGCACAAATTCGACGTTTAAGAAAAATGTTCAGAAAATTTGCAACCTATGACAAAAATAGGCACCAACAATCTTGCCAGAGCTTGTACATGCTAGGCATTCGTAAGCGTAAGTGGTTTTCTTTGGTGAGACGCATGCCCAGGCATTAAGTAGCAGTTGCAAAGAAACAAGGGAGTAGAGCACCACATGTGTGAGCAAGAAATAGATATGTATATGTATACATATATATATATATATATATATATATATATATATATATATGCATATATACACAAGAATAGATAGTGATTGGTTCAACCATTCAGGCCAGAAACCTTGTGTGGGGCATCCCAAAACGAATAGTTGTAGTAATGCTGCCTGAGCAAGCAGATTCTTCGCAAAAAATGCTTGAATTCATTTAAATCGAGCAAAGATGTGGGCGGAGTTTACAAAAGTTGCTATGCTGTATGCTTGATTCATGCAAGTTGCACCATAGAAAGACTTTCAAAATGAGATATAGCAAGTGCCATTGTCTATCTGCCTTGGGTGATAGAACCATAGTGTGCAAAAGTGTTTATCAACTAGCGTGACATAATGAAGGGTTTCACCTTCAAACATTTTCTTCAGCTTCATAACACAACCGAGCACAAGTTATACATCGTTGGACAAGTCAGTCCACGTGCAAATCATATGCCTCACAAAATTACGCAAAATTACAACTTGTAATATTGATGTCGCATGGAGCAATTACCATACATTACGTAATTGCATTACATTTGCTTAACTTACATGATATATGTATATACAAATATATATATATATATATATATATATATATATATATATATATATATATATATGTATGTCTCTGTGTGTGTGTTACACAAACATCTTCATGTATTATGATCATGGACATTGTGTACACTGCCAGTATGTGCCTATATTAAAAAGGAAATGGTGACTTACGGCTACCAGAGAGATCGTTTCAAAGGGATGAAGAACTCTTTAACACGCGCTGGAAGTTGTATCAGCAAAGCCCGCTGATCGACCCATATCTTACCTGTGTTGCCCGAGTACTTCGTCCACCCCGCTTTTATCTGAGCTGCTGTTCCTAGCTTCACACAGCTTATTTCCTCAGATAAAAAGGTTTCGTGTGCGTGTTCGTGTACGGCAAAAATAGATAGAATATGCATAAAACGCTTACGATCGCCTTGGAAGCCAGCGCAATCGGCTGATAACAGCCCTGAAGCTATGAAGACACAGGTCCCGGCCAACCCTTTCCTACTGAGTCGCATGTTGGAATTGCGGAAGCGACCCCAAGGCTGCGCGATCAGGTTAGCAACAAAAAAAAAACTTCTGAGGATTCCTTTTCCTGCGTTCCTGTGTTCTCATCTGAGCTGGGCGACATTCGCAGACGCGGACGCCGGGTCTCAGAACCACGCCGTCTCGTTCTCTTGCGTTCCTGTGTTCTCATTTGAGCTGGGCGACATTCGCAGACGCGGACGCCGGGCCTCAGAACTACGCCGTCTCGTTCTCTTGCGTTCCTGTGTTCTCATCTGAGCTTGGCGACATTTGCAGACGCGGACGCCGAATTTTATAACTACGCCGTCTCGCTCACCTGCGTTCCTGTGTTCTCATCTGAGCTGGGCGACATTTGCAGACGCGGATGCCGAATTTTATAACTACGCCGTCTCGTTCTCCTGCGTTCCTGTGCTCTCATCTGAGCTGGGCGACATTTGCAGACGCGGACGCCGAATTTTGTAACTACGCCGTCTCGTTCACCTACGTTCCTGTGTTGTCATCTGAGCTGGGCGACATTTGCAGACGCGGACGCCGAATTTTATAACTACGCCGTCTCGCTCACCTGCGTTCCTGTGTTCTCATCTGAGCTGGGCGACATTCGCAGACGCCGACGCCGAACCTCAGAACTATGCCGTCTCGTTTTCCTTGGACGAGGACGACACTTTTGGCCTCTCAGATCCCGTCAAAACGTCGGATGTCGAGCCAACTTACACCGCCCAGCTGGTTCTGAAAAAGCCGCTGGACTGGAGCAAAATCAAGTTGTACAATCTGGCCGTCACGGCAAAGGTAAGGCCCATCGGTTTTTTTTGCGGTGATAGGAACATCATACACGCATCGAAAAAGCTTGCTCTTCATGCAAAGTGACATAATCTTTGGCGGTTCGTTATCTATGGCATCTTTCCTAGATGTTGTGTCCCAGACATTTCGCTCTAGAGTGACAACTAACGCTTACGTCTGTCATCAAATGCGTTCCCAAGAGGTTTCTAGGCGGCTTGTTATGACTTTTGTCACTCTGAAATGCATTTCTTTTGTTTTGTTTGCTTTTAAGCTGTTGCCAGACCTGACGTAGTCAAGCTAGATCAAGCTTTGATATTTGTAACAGGATTCGAATTTCTAAAGCTCACGCGATTTCAACCTTGACGGCCTATATTTTGCAGCTTTGAAAACCTTCCTTACCCTAATTTCCACAGCGATGCTGCTGGTTTTGTTTGTAGTTTAGCTGGACGGGCCAGCGCAACAACATTTAGTCCTTTGACCTGATTTGACATAATACAGGTCATACCTTGCAACGCCCAGTAGTGCCTGCCTGAAAAGCGTTGTTGAGAATGTAGTTTAACGCCCTCTTCTGTTTGCTATAGCTTGCGTAGTTTATAAGATAATGCAAGTGGTCTACTAAGTGTTGCTTAATAGACCCCTTTTGGCTCTAATGACCTGTTCCTTTTCACATGTGACCAAATCACATTTAACATTGTTCCGCCATACCTGTCTGATGGAGTTCGGTAAGAGCTATCCGATGCCTTTTTCCACGTGGCTTTTTCTCCGGCTTATTTAACTCGCACGGCGAATATGAAAAAAACACAGTGGGGGGGGGGGGGGGGAGAGGTTTACATGTTATCTCTGTGAGCGAACACAGGCCTTTGGGCGTTCTAATGATGCCAAAATGAGACGAATAACAGAATACTGGTCAGTCGACGTTTGAAAGCTTTGGTGCCGGCTCTGGCCCTGACACCGACTCCGGCTCTGACGCCGGATCTGGCCCTGGTGCCGGCTATGGCTCTGGCTCTGGCACCGACTCTGGCCCTAACCCTGGCGCCGGCTCTGGCTCTGATGCCTGCCCTGGCCCCGGTGCCGGCTTTTGGCTCTGGCTCTGGCTCTGAAGCCGACTCTGGCCCTGGTGCCGGCTCTGGTTCTGGGTCTGGCTCTGGCGCCGGCTCTGGCTCTACGCGCACGGACTTTTCTAAGAGGAGCCCGAGGTGTTGGATAGGCCCAACACTGTGACAAGTTAATATTTGCGACGTATGCTAAGCTGCCGTAAACGTCACGCTGTGTTAAGACTTTGGCACCCTTTTACATAAGGTGCTCGGCTCGCTTTGAGCTAGTCCGCGCGCCGTCTCAAAGAGAGAGGCTGGTGGCAGCTGCTGCCAATAGCTGGCGTTTCCCCTGTCAAATCTCCGGAGTGCTGGTATCTGTTGAGACTGTGGCTCCTTGTTTCGGAAACAAGTTTGAAAATCTGGTAGAACCAGCAGGCAGTTTTGAATTACTGCTCATATTTGTCTCGACTACGTCTTGCAGCCGAAATATCAGTGCATCTCTTTTTTCTTCCCAGTTATTCAACGAAAAAGGTCATACGTACTGTCCTTGTTTATGTACAAGGCTCCTCGCAGTTACGCTGAACAAATTACATGCATATTTCATTTAGATGAAACAGTTATCTTAGACTTGTCGGGGTACTTCTATCTTTGGTGGAACAGAGTCTTTAAAATTGTTAATAAAATTCAAAGGCTATTGCAAAACAATAACAAGGCCTTGAGAGCTCTCAAAAGCTTACGCGGGGATGGGGGTCAAATCACCGCAATGAAAAAAACAACAAAAAACGGTCGGAAATCATGCTACGCTGTCTTACTCAGGAAGAGACACATACGCTGCTCCACGTCTGTTAACACCGTGTTTTGTCCCTCAGGATCCCGATGGCCGCTCTGACACGGCCACCATCAAGGTGGTGGTTGACGACATCGATAACAAGCAGCCTGACTTTGATGAGATGAGCTACAGCACTGAGGTGGTCGACCCGGAGGTTGGTTTAGTTGGTTGGTTGGTTGATATGACATGTGCGACCAATGCGGATGACAATCAAAGTGTACACAGATGATGTACACAGTGTACCTGATTGATGTACACAATCAGGTGTACACACATGAAGTAAAGGCCTTTATCTGTCACTATCTGGACATTTGTGGCAGACCTGAAACCGTTTTTTCTGTTGGTTAATGCCAGTGTGCATCATTTCGTCATTAGGCCTTAACGACGCGTTCAGTTACCCGCGTTTTACGGTTGTTTTTTATGAAGCAAACCGTGCCGAACCGATCCTACGAACATCAGCGGTCTGGAAGTGCGTCAATAACTATCATGCACGCATCTTAAAAAGTGTGTACGAGGGCAGATGACCAGTGTTTACAAGTGATGAATTAGGTGGCCTGTAAAGAATACAACGTGGTTTTCACGGCATTAGCCGTGAAGCGTGATGTTAGAACAGGAGTGTGTTTTCTATGATAAACATGGGGGAAGCTCATTGGTCAAGAAGGCAAAACAAGGACCGAGGGTGATAAGATGGGTTAATTACTAAAAAACGGACAGCCTCAGCGTGCCAGGCTCAACTGAACGATTCGTCTAATGACAAGGATGTAGGACCGAGTGAATGACAAGGATGTAGGATCGAGCGAATGACAAGGATGTAGGATCAAGTGAGTGACAAGGATGTAGGATCGAGCGAATGACAAGGATGTAGGATCGAGCGAATGACAAGGATGTAGGATCGAGTGAGTGACAGACTATCCGCTCGCGCCCGGGGGTCTGAGACAATGGCGCCCAGCCAAGGGGAGTTAACTTCTCCACTGGGATCTCCGACCTTCGAACGCCGTGTGAGAAACCATTTAAAGGTTAAGAAACCATTTAAAGGTTTCTAAAGATAAAACCAGTTAAATATAAAAGTTCAAAGGTAAAGAAACCATTTAAGACACCATTTAAAGGGCTTGCCAGACCATGAAAGAGCACGTCTGACCATGTGACCAGTGCAACATTTTGTGTTTTGCTGTGCTCAGAAATAATATATTACAGATCTTCAGGTACTCGAGATCACATAGCTGCCGTTTACATTATGCATAGTCCCTTCGACTCTAGGCAATGTATTTGTAACAAGCTGAGAACATGTACGTTGGTACATGAAATTATGCGTCATCAGCTTCAAAAATACGATAAGGAGGATACAAACATCGCACTCGTTCATATAGCCTCTCCCCTACTGGAAAGATAGGCCTTGATCTTTTATGACTTAATGTGACCTTGCATGTCCTCGCGTGACACATTGTGACCTTGTTATGCATAAAAAGGATATAACAAAATGTTTTCTGTAGATAATTCGAATTCTGCATCAAAAATTACGAATCTGCATATTTTGAGCTCAGCACTGCTTTTCAGAAAGTACTCATAGATAGGTCATGACCAGGGACAAAGTCACGTGCGCCGCGGTCATATGATGGCTGGCATGTAAGTTAATAGTGTTTTCCTCATAAAGTAGAACTGAAACTACTCAAGCATCCGTGCAAACTTGCATTATTTACCAAAAAGCCAGAAATTGGCCCGACTTAAGATCACTGACTTCGGTTTTTCCGAAAAATCATAAAAAGATTAACTCTGGGCACTATACGTCCTATTACCATAGCATGCTTGAAAAATGACAAATAAACTACACAAAAGTTACGTGTGGTCAAAGTTCACTGATCTTAGGACATAAAAACTCGATATTTGCGCAAAGACACGAAATGAAAAGACTGCATGGCACTGGAATTAAATGTCGCTGCGAGCGTTCGTTTTTGACCTGTGCCCGAAAAGCCCTAGGGGAAAGTCAACTCCCTCGGCGAGGCGCGGGCTGATACCATAGAAGAATGGGAGTACACTCGAATGGGTTTAAAGTCGCATGAATTCCGTTTGGTATGGTACGTTTTCGTTTGTGTGGGCTCGCTCCATGCTTTTGAAATGTGCTTATTCTTAAGCGGCTCAGGCCCAGGTCTGATGCATATTTCGTGCGAGGTACTTCGCGTCCTGCGCAACATCGCCTCTGGCAACTTCTTAAATAGCAGCACTCAACGCTTGACTTACCACAGCGCCACAAACGGGGGGCCGCCGTGGCATGTGTCGCTCACCAGGTTGTCAGCCAGCAGATTGTTTGGGTTGGCAGCATGATAGTTTAGATAGATTTGGTTTGTATTTGGATTTTATTAAAACAAAGTGCAACTTGCCCCGCCATGATGTTCTAGCTGTTTTCCATGGAAGCAGTCCATAGACTTCGTAGGCCGTCATGTACTTCAACGGCTCTGTATTCGTGTTGTTGTTGTCCTGCGGTAGCTACGTTCACCTCGTGTCGTTGACAGGAGGTAGTTAGGATGCCCGTGCCCTTGGACGCCGCACTCTGCGCTCGGTCTGCCGAAGATCTCCAGCAATATCCGAGGTGATCTCTTAAATTTAGTCGATGACCCTCCAGGTGACGTTCAATAGCTGACCTGAGGTCAATTCGGACGTGCCTACCTGAGGACGATAATTATATACTGGTGTAACCCACAATACAGTTCAATGCTAAAAAAAACAACAGAAAAGACACTGGGATTTACTGCAAAATCAACGATGCGAGCCCACGTAATGGCGTTATGAACGCTTTGCGTGTTATGGTGTTTTTGTCGGTTTTTCGCTTTTACGGTTTTCTGTGGTGTCATAAATGCAACTTTTAGGGCGGCTTTCATCTCCCCACTTGACAATATTGAATACCATATCATTTAACTATAACCCTTTGCGTAAAGAACGCCAACCCAAAAACCACAGAGACGTGTCCTATTGATTAGTCGTCTAGAATATCTAATGTACTTACATATTGACATATGATATTATATATATATATATATATATATATATATATTTATATTTATATATCTGATATATTATATGATATATATATGCATGATTTATTATAATATATATATATATATATATATATATATATATATATATATATATATATATATATATTGATATATACATTTTATGATGAACTAGGTACCTAGGCTCAACTAGAATCGCTAATAGTAGTAGTATCGCTAATAACAGTAGTATTCAAATCCTGACATTTCGCAAGCCATGCAGCGATCAAGGCCGATAAACGTATAATGGTCTTGTTATACATATGTGGCACTCGTGAACACGATATTTAGATTTATGTACCGCCGTCAACTGGCTCTCAATCGATGCTGTGCAATGTACAATGACGTAATCATATAATGATGCATCGACGAGCATATTTCCTAAAGAGAGAATTTGTAGTGTCTAGAGCAGTTTTTTCTGTTTAGAAGCGTGCCAACAGTTACAAGTGAGCCTGTTTCATCATATCTTTTCGTTTTTACGATAACTTCATGTGTGAAACATATCCTATTTGCCCCAGTTTTGCTAGTTAGGTACTTTAGAGTTTTTTGGTATGTGATTATCTAAGCAATATCATCTTAAAAGGTTGACTGCTTTGCGCAACAGGTCTTTCCAACATCTCAGCGCGTGTCTTTGTTGCAGGCGCTGGGGCCGTTGAACGTCACCATTCACGCGACCGATCCGGACGCGCCCCACACTCTGAAATACACAATGCAAGATCCTTCGGGAGGTAGGCTTCTCTTGGAAACCCTTTCCTGACCGTTCAAGGTTATTTCTTCAAGATGAACTAGATCACCTTCAGTGCATCCCAACGTAGAGCCGAGGATACGCCGAGGATTAGGCGAAAGAAGCGGGATAGGGTTAGTGCACATCACCATGAATCACCGGCTGCGTCATGTTCGATTGTTTCAGCCGGCTGGGACAGCTTCTTCACGCTGAATCCGGATACCGCCGAGTTCAGCCTAACCCAGTCGCTTAAGCATCACCTCAATAGCACCGCCACGGCCATCACATTTCTGCTGCAGGTAACGGAATGTAGTCAGCGCCCAGCTCCAGCCAATTCACCTACGCATGCACGTGTGCCGCAACTTTGTCGCGCAAACATATCGCGTCTAGAAAGACAGAATCTCCCCTGCGATGTTGCTTCGTAAGGCGCTGGGCGGTGATGCGATTCGGTAAGAGCGAGCCGGCGGTGGATGCGCCGTGGCAGCGGTGTGCTGGCGACGACCCAGAGGATGTGACCCGGCGACGGACCCTCAGGATGTGACCCGGTGACGACCCTCAGGATGCGACCCGGTGACGACCCAGAGGATGTGACCCGGCAACGGCTCTCAGGATGTGACCCGGCGACGACCCTCAGTATGTGACCCGGCGACGACCCTCAGGATGTGACCCGGTGACGACCCTCAGGATGTGACCCGGTGACGACCCTCAGGATGTGACCCGGCGACGACCCTCAGGATGTGACCCGGCGACGACCCTCAGCATGTGACCCGCGACGACCCTCAGGATGTGACCCGGTGACGACCCTCAGGATGTGACCTGTGCACGCTGTGGCCGATTGGGTGGAGCAGTCGAAATGCCCCGCGGGTATTGCTCTTGCTGGAGACGCTTCCATGCCAGCATATTAGACGGCGGCTAAGTGTTACCAAATTCGAAATGTACAATAGCTAGAAGAGACAGCACTCGAAACTGATAGTTTGTCGTCAGGTCGGTGAGAGTAGTCGTTTAATTTTACTAAGGCACTGCTTGTATTTCGTCACCGTGCACGGATTTATCAGTTTAGGTCTGCGAATTTAAGCCCACGTAAATTCATCAAGTATCGCTGACCTTTAACGCCAACCAAGTGCAGCACGACGATAAAAACGTTTCCGGAATATAATAATCGTAATTTAGAGAGATGTGATGGCGTTACATCGCCCTGGCTCCGGCTTTCCCAACTTTTCTTCTATCTGGACTTGGTTCCAAAGAGCTTCCTGTTTTCATAATCTTAGCGTGAAATGTCTGTCACGCTGCTAAGGTCTCCCACCGCCGTCACGCTGCTAAGGCCTTGTCACCGTTGGTGCACGTGAGAGGCCGAAGCAGAAGGTCACAGTATGATTCACAACGTAGCGTGTTCTGTTATGCATTGTCTGTGCTGCTGCGCCCTGTCTGTTCTGCTGTGTCTTGATGCTCTGCTGTGCCTTGTCTGTTCTTCTGTGCCTTGTCTGTCCTGCTGTGTCTTTAGTGTTCTTCTGTGCCTTGTCTGTTCTGCTGTGCCTTGTCTGTCCTGCTGTGCCTTGTCTGTCCTGCTGTGCCTTGTCTGTCCTGCTGTGCCTTGTCTGTTCTTCTGTGCCTTGTCTGTCCTGCTGTGCCTTGTCTGTCCTGCTGTGTCTTGATGTTCTTCTGTGCCTTGTCTGTTCTGCTGTGCCTTGTCTGTCCTGCTGTGCCTTGTCTGTTCTGCTGTGCCTTGTCTGTCCTACTGTGCCTTGTCTGTCCTGCCGTGCCTTGTCTGTTCTGCTGTGCCTTGTCTGTCCTGCTGTGCCTTGTCTGTCCTGCTGTGTCTTGATGCTCTGTGTCTTGTCTGCCCTGCTGTGTCTTGTGTTGCCTTCCTGATGCGAGCCACGGAGCCGCATACACACCGTTGGCTATCGTTAGGAGGTGGATGTCTCGCAATGTAGATATTCTTTGAAATGTGGCGTGCGCAAATCGTGGATACCAAAACCGATATGTGAGTGACTGACGGACGGTGCCTTCGGCAGGCGACCGAGGTGGGAGGGGAAGGCTTCTACAGTCGGGCGGCCTTGGTGGTGCGGCTGCCGGCTCAGGAGATAACAACGACGCCAGGTACGCCGGACAGCGAGCGGTTATAACAACGATGACAGGTACGCCGGACAGCGAGCGGTTATAACAACGACGCCAGGTACGCCGGACAGCGAGCGGTTATAGCAACGATGACAGGTACGCCGGACAGCGAGCGGTTATAACAACGATGACAGGTACGCCGGACAGCGAGCGGTTATAACAACGATGACAGGTACGCCGGACAGCGAGCGGTTATAACAACGATGACAGGTACGCCGGACAGCGAGCGGTTATAACAACGATGACAGGTACGCTGGACACCGAGCCAGGATGTAACAACGATGACAGGTACGCTGGACACCGAGCCAGGATGTAACAACGATGACAGGTACGCTGGACACCGAGCCAGGATATAACAACGATGACAGGTACGCTGGACACTGAGTCGCGTCGGCAGCGCAGGGTTAGAATGCAGGTTCGTGAAGGCGAAAATTCAGGCCCAATTTCTGTCGGAGGAAACGTTTGTTTGGCAACTTCCGCGGGGCTTGAATTGAGAGGGGCTGGTGACGTTAGTGATCTGCACTGTCAGTTGTGTCCATAAATAGTTGAAAACAAATTCTGGTTGCTGGTGAGCCGTGTTGCAATCTGTGTGGCAACCAACTCTTTAATATGGAAATGCCCGATATGGAAATGCCCGTAAATGCCCGTAGGTGTAACAATGTGTAAATTCGTGGCATTCAGACGATGCAATCACACGAAGAGCATGTCATGCACAGTCGCTCAAAGGTTCTGACAACCGAACCAGTCGTGGCACTGATGTGAGCGACTTGGCAAGTAATTCGAAGCATCATGTGGGTCAGAAAATGCATCTGTTTGGTTTGGCGGTTAGGTCCCGTTAAGTGCATGAATGCGTACGTAGAAGCTCCGCGTGAGTCCGGTAACGTAACATTACACTCATTTTTCGGCGTCACACTCGTAAACAAGGCTATTCGGGCCAAAAGAGAACAACAGCTTTTGTTACTGAAATTTTCGGTCGCTTTTGAGCCCTGTTGAGACAACTCAGGCCACTATTTCAGAAATGATTTTGTGTTCGCCTTTTCCTTTCGCCTTTTGTAGCCTGTTGAAGAATGCAGTTTTTTATTAGTGCATACCAAACGTTTTCATGGATGGCTTTGTTCTCGGAGCACCCGCTAGGTATAGCTTGTTGCGTGTGCCCTGAACCATCCACTCAAGTCGCGCCCTTCGGTTCAACGAATAAACTGGCTCCGCTTTTTCGCCAGACAGTAATGCGGGGATTTTACTTGGCGCACAATGTTCCGACGCGTCCGCCCCCGGCCTAGTTGGCTTTCGTTGGCCAGTTGCCAGCTGCTCCTTCCATTTCAGTCGTGCCAAGCAATGCAGCTGACCAGGAACTTGTACAAGCTGTTATGATTTGATGACATGCTGTATTTAAGACGGCTTCTAATGACAAGAGGCGTCTTTGGTGCTAACGTTAATAACATGAACTGCTAAGTTACAAATTAAGTTGCAATTTGATATATATATATATATATATATATATATATATATATATATATAGATGTATGTATGCACATATATCTATACATATATATATATATTGTTTGTATGTTTTAATGTCTTTTATGTGATATGATGACAGCTTGTAGGTAAGATGGTTTTTGAATTTATACCGTGAATATAACTTGCACAGGATAACAGACGCTTTTCATGTTTGTCGTCAGAAAATGGTGTGCTGCGGTCAGTTGCGTAAGCATTGCTACGAACTGGGCGGCAATACAAAACACCATTTATCCACCAATATTAAATGCCCCTTTCCAAAGATAAGGTCGATGTTAGTAGTGCCATGGCGGGAATTCGGTCACGCTTATTACATAGTCTTTGAGTACGCATCCCAAATATTTTGTTATGATTTTCACAGCTTTTTACAAAACCTACTTTATAGATATTGTATATGTTATAAGATCACTCTTCCTTCGTGTGCTGCAGTAATCACTGTTAGTGATAATGAATTTTGACCTCTAGAGAAGACATAATTTTTTAAAGAAATATGTTTTCAAGTTATAAGTTGTAAAACCCGCCTAAGACCTGTTGGCTAAAATGTGTGTGAGCTGCCCGCAATAGCCAAACGTGAATGGTGAAAATAGTTTGCGCTTAGCGTGTTCAAAAAGATCCACTCTTTCCTGATGCGTTTTAAAAGAAATGCAGCGGATTAAAACACGATAAAGCCGGCGTGCAAGCAAGGAAACGTTTGAGGAAGTTTCGCCTTGCTCTCTTTTAGATGATTATTTCCGCTGTGCCACGAGCACAACCATACGAGTTGCATAATATGTAGCAGTTACACTACGTGTAAAGGATATTTTTCCATCTAGCGAGCCCTAAAAAAGGCACCATACTTGTTCTGCTGAACAGCACTTTCTCAGCGCATCCAGCCGTACCATTGTAAACTCTAAAATTGCTATCGGTTATAAGCTTTACAGCCGAAAATGCAGCAAGGTGCTCAAATTTAAACCGACTGAATGATCGTTTCCCCGTGATGTAGGACCGACGACCCTAAGCATATGGTTGGCGCCCCCCCCCCCCCCCCAGTGATGAGCTGGCGGTGCACGTGGCGGTTGGCGAACTGGTTGAGCACGTGGCAAGTAGCGAGCTGCTGACACGTGTGGCAAGTGCGAGTTGGTAGCGCGTGTGCGTGGGTTTCTGGGGTCCTACTTGAAAAGCAGTTAACTCACCTCACTGGCAGCAAAAGCCAGTTCCCGTAGCGGATTCATCACTACTGCATGGTGAGTACTTTGAACCATTTTGAAGATCATTTAGTGCAGCTGGCAGCACTGCCCTTTTAAATCTTAAGACTATCTAATGTCTGGGCTTCGAGGCTGCGAACTTGTGCAGACTATTCCGTACAGACTATTTAAGGTCAACCAGACATTCATCACGCCCAAAACTCACGCGTGCTGTCACTTCATTGACCATCTGCCATGGGTGTAAGAGCGAAGGGGGCGAGAGGTAAGGTTGCCATAGCCCCCTCCCACATTTTAAGGTAGGGGCCAGGAGTCTTAACTGGGCCCCCCCCCCACTTTTCTGGTCTGCCCCCCCCCCGCCCCCCACGCCGTCCGCTACTACAGCAATTTTTTGGCATGGTCCTCAGGCAGCGACTCGGCATCATAAAGAGTTT